GTTGCATGGCCTGGGTGCAGCATATGGACTTCCAGAAGGTTTGCTGTTTTTTCTAATCCTTGCATTTATTCACTTCTGTTATCTTCAATTCAATTATATATTTACAGCTTGGTTCATCAAACTAATGGAATTGACTGCAGTGGCTTGAGAACTTGTGATATAAACTTTGATTGCTAAATAGTTTGTGCTATTTTAAGGATCAATTCCGAGTCTTTCTTGAAGGATAATGGATTAGGCTTTGTTAGTTGAACCTGGCATGTGGGAGGATATTTAGAGATGCATACCTGGGTTAGGTTGGTCATTATTAGAATAGTCGGGCCTAACTCCATCCCAAAAGCTAACCCATGGAGGATTGGCTGCTCAAGTTATTCTAAAAGTTCCTCCCCACTTTTCTTCAATTTTAATACAAATAAAAATGTTAGTGAAAATAAAAACATCACTGAAAATAAAAAAAATAATAGATACTTTTAGACTATAAAAAAAAGTCTCCAACCAATATTGGACTCTGACACTTATTAGATTACAATCTTGTATAGTACTTATATATTTCTATAGGATAGAAAAGAAATCTTTTTAGAGCGAATTGTTATTATGACTGGTGATGTATTATGCAGGATGCCTACTTCGAAGTTTGCCTGCAAATGTGATAGCTGACAATTCATCAGGCATTAGCTTTACATGTGATTTGAGTGACAATGTTGCTGCACCCTGGCCTTCATCATCGTCAATTACATCTGTGTCTCTATGTGCACCTGGTATGTGCTTGGAGCCTTGGACAAAGTTACTACAATTTGGTTGTTCGTTCCATTTTCATGCAGTAGTTATGTCTTTGCATTTGCTTAACTCTAGTCCATTTGGAGTTTTACAGAGATGTCTTTACCTGCACTACCAACTTCGCAGACATTAAAAAATATTGGTGAGTGGCACAGTTCAGTTGATGTTCCATTTTGATTTTTTGAATGAATACTACCCAGGCTGTCTGATGATTTTGATTCTTGAAATGTTTAGTATATAGCAGTGTGCATGCCCAGGTTATTATATTTTAATTGAACTGACTCAATTCTCTAAAATAGCAGACTGAGTGATATAGGTTGGTCTCTCATTTGTGAATATGGTGTGTTTTGCAGGTTGTAATTCTAGTGGAGTGGGGTTCCTGCTGCTTATGTTTCCATTTTTCATCTTCAGTACACTGTTGTATTTTTAGCGTTGAGATGTGTTATGGGAAGGCATTTTAGAGTATCTTGGTGTGGATTCTGCATTGCATGTATATTATTGAATGCCCTCATTGTATAGCATCCTTCTTTTTCACGTGTCTTCTGCTCCTAAGTAAAATAATGATATGTAAAAAAAAAAAGCAACCCTTCAGAACCTTCCATTCTCTTTCACCCAATTCCTAAACAAATTCATCATTTCTTTTCCGCCTCAAAATTAGACTCTCAAACAAAGCCTTATATATATATATATAAATATTCATTAATATTGTTGAAAAAAGGGTTTCATTCTCCCATCCTTCCCTTCTTTCCAGCATTAGAAAGGGAACTCCTACCCACAATCCTCTCATTAGCCCACAGGCGCTTTTCGTCATAACAGAAATTATAATTACTAATTAGTCCTTTATCATTTCATAATAAGTATGATTTTTCCAAAAATCATCTATTTATCATTTATGTTGAGTTTAATTAAATTATTACATAAAACACCCCTTCATTTCTTGTATATAGACAAATCTCCTAATTTGTATACACCATCTCAGCATAAGAATTAAGTTTAAAATTTTAAACAAAAAATTGTAATAAGTGTAATTAAGTTAAATAAAACGTTATATTATGGAGACAATTCTAAATAGTATATTAGTACATATATCTTCATTATTTTTGATTCGTTTCAATATAGTATAAAAGTTACTTAAACAATATATTCTTAGAATTATTGATGCATCTTGTAACTAACTAAAAATATTGACGATACATTGATTTTTATAATATTTGAATTTGTATCGACAATATACCATATTCTGTTTAATTTTGTTATACCCATCACATTTTTTTGTTTAAAGTATAACACTAATTTTGCGTGCAAGAAATCAGTATAGTGTAATGCATCTATATAAATAAGGGTGATTTATGTATATATAAAAAAATAGATAAGTAATTTGTATAATTTTACTAAAATTTAGGTGGTATTAATATAATTTACTCTAAAAATAATGTGGAAGTTGCTATCAGCAATAGTATTTTTTTAATTAAGTTTTTGTTTATCACTTGGTTATGTTAACTGGTATTTAGTTATTTACTTGCCAATAGCCATTACATGTTTTAGGAAGACTATGAGAGGTAACATAAATTTATTAGTTAATATCATCTAATTCCAGGTTTTTCAAATGGGAGACTTATTTGTCGCTACATACATATATTTCTATTTAAGTTTTTTTCCTTCTATTTGTGTAGATGAAATTAGGAACTACCAAAGAGAGGGTGAAATGTGGACTGTTTTAATTATTTAAGTTCATTCTTATGTTTCTGATAGTTTTGTTGTTAACATTGGATATATATATTTAGGCCAGTTCTAACCTGCGAACTGCAGGTTAGTTCGCTTCTATGCGAACTGATTATGTGCCGTTGGATGAAATTATTAGATTACCTGTTACTTTGCAGTGACCTTTCAGAAGTCGGTTTGGTGGGGGAAAACTTCTGTACAGAAGTCGGTTTGGGGGGGTGTGACTTGAGAAGTCGGTTTGGGGAAAAATTTGTTGTAATCGATTACTGTTATAGTGTAATCGATTACATACTAAAAAATGCACAGATCTGATGCCTTTAATATGTGGTAATCGATTACTAGAATAGTGTAATCGATTACTGTTATATTGTAATCGATTACTGTTATATTGTAATCGATTACATAATACAAAATGCACAGATCTGATGCCTTTAATATGTTGTAATCGATTACTAAAATAGTGTAATCGATTACTGTTATATTGTAATCGATTACATAATGCAAAATGCACAGATCTGATGCCTTTAATATGTTGTAATCGATTACTAAAATAGTGTAATCGATTACTACTATAATGTAATCGATTACTACTATGATGTAATCGATTACTACTATGATGTAATCGATTACTACTATGATGTAATCGATTACAACTATGATGTAATCGATTACAACTATGTTGTAATCGATTACAGCAACCTACAAAAGTCGGTTTGGGCCCGTGTAACTTATCAACAGAAGTCGGTCTGGCCCAAACCGACTTCTCACCTATGTTACCAAGGCCCAAACCGACTTTAGCCAAATTTCTACCGGTACCCAGTAACATATCCAACGGCTCAAATGATTTAAATAAAATCCAACGGCTATAAAAATAGTTCGCTTGGAAGCGAACTAACCTGCAGTTCGCAGGTTAGAACGCACCATATATTTATTTAGAAGAAGACTTGGCCTTTAATACTATTATGCATTTTACAATTGTCACTCACCAATGGACTTGGAATACTTTTAATTAATCACAAATAATTAATGCATTCAACTGCTGCCCTACCCTTACCTCTTCTAAATAATTAATAATGCCTTCACATCGATCTTATTATTCATGCATCAACTTTTCAATATCATATTTTATATTCTATACATTTATTTAAACTTATTTTCTTTATATAATTTTAAAAATAGTATGAGAAACAATAGGACATGACATAAGGATTATTCTGAAAGAAACATATATTAGATTATGGCACTATCCTAGAATAAGGATAGAAATAATTAGTGATGGAGATGTGGTTCAACATTTGTGATTTATCCATATTTTCCTCCAATCTAGAACCAAACCAACATATCTCTTATCCCATTTTCTCCTAAAACTAAGCTATGATTCATGACCATTAACTCTTGCAAAAGCTTTCACCAAAAACAATGACATGAAAAGTTATTCTCCCTGTTGATGAAGAAAGATAACAGGAGGAGGTAGAGATCAAAAGAAAAAAGAAGAAATATATATATATATATATACATATAAATATATGTATACTAATCAACTTTGGAAGAATTTTTGGGTTGGCAATGGCGACGCAGAATGAATGTTCACAAAGACTAGGCTACCTCATATTTCAATTAAGTACAAATTTCATGGTGTTTATGGCTATGGTGATTGCACGCAATGGTTTACATTTCGCACTAAAGCCTTATTCTCAACCACGCATTACTTCTGACATAATTGTAAGCTTCCCTTTCATAATAATAAACTTTGTTGTTCTTGAGGTGTTTCCAACAAAAATAAGACATGTTATATTTTCATTTCACATAGCTTGTTCTCATTGATAAATAGAACAACACCACAAATATCTATAAAACTTTTCCTAATATATAACATGCAAAAGAAAACAGAAAAATGAAAGTTTCTAATATTACATATCATGTCTTGTTTTTATGCATGCAGGTAGGATTAATAATGGGCAACCTAGGTTTTTTACGTTCACTATATGAGGAATTCAACAAAACCTTTGCATTCATCATTGATGTTGGTATGATGTGTTACATGTTTGCTTTGGGGATAGAAATGGATCCTTATGCACTCTTCAAAAGACCAACAAGGGATGCTCAGGTTGCTTATGTAGGAATAATCTCCACATTCCTCTTGGCTGTTTTTTTGAGCCCTTTTCTCTTTCACTTACCAACCCAACATAGAATAGAATTCACCCTCTCCCTCTCTACCCTTTTATCTAGCACAACATCACCAATTCTAACACATCTAATAACTCAACTCAAGATAGGTAAGTCAGATATTGGGAAGCTTGTCATAGCAGCAGGGATGCACTCAGAGTTCCTCTGCTCCTTGTTTTTTTCACTTGTCTTCATTGCTATGCCATGGGACACACTTTGCACTGGAACTGAAGACAAGAAGCGCGTTAGGAGGGCTATTACAATGATCATTGCAGTTCTTTTGCAGACATTGTTCACAGCATTGGTTTCACCTATATTCATGAGCTGGATTAATAATGAAAATCCTGAAGGGAAACCCATGAAAGGTTCACACTTGGTGCTGTCACTTGCCTTCATGGTCCTCATGTGTGCCTCCTCAACTCTGTATGAGTATAGTCCAATTCTAAGTGCTTTCATAACAGGAATTTGTCTTCCCAGGGAAGGTAGAGTTTCCAAATGGATTATCAGAAAAATCAACTATATATTGACCACAATTTTCTTTCCCATATTTTTCTTGTGGATGGGGTATGCAGCTGATTTCAGGATGCTTGATCCTGGAAGTTTAGAAACATGGACAAGATTACTTTATCTCATTGGGGTAGTAGTAGTTGGGAAAGTTGTTGGAACAGTTGTTTATGGGGCAATGCTTGGCTTTCACTGGCCTGAATCAGTTGCAATTGGATTGCTACTCACCACCAAAGGCCATTTTCATCTCTACCTGGCTATCAAAGTGGTAAGTAATCTCATCATTTTCTATCTTAACTCTCTCAAATAGTTGCCTTATCCTTTCCTGTATGTGTGTATATTCCAATTTCTAGAATCAGTAATAATTTTTATGGTGACCCCAACTGATGTCATGAAAGTTGTCAACTGAATTATGAGTGAATTGACATGGGAGCATGGACGGATCCAAAGGGTGTTCGCTCCCCTCTCACATAATTTTATACCACTGGTCATTTGGAGAAAGGCACAGTTCTTCGACTTCCTTAGAAGTATTAAAGAATGAGACATTTCCCTTTACCAGTCATACAAATGTAGCATTTGAATCAAGCTTGCTGTACACACTTAGAAATTCAACTCATTTGAAAATCTAGGACAAGAGCATCATTATGCAGCTAATGCCAAGAGGCATGACCCTAAAAAGATATTTAATTTGAATCTATATGACACCTTGAATGAGACTTCTGCACACACAAAAATGATCATGAGGATTTAGGAAGAGTTTATAGATTCACTAATTGTTAAACTAAGATAACTCTACAATGGCTAGTACTTATTTTTATTCAGAATTATAGCAAAATCAAGATAAATCATGTTTTCCATTGAATCAAATCTCTTATATTGTCCTTGTATTACCAGATAGGTTGTGGCGCCACTATTTCCACCAGCATTGCGATGATAGTTGCAACCTTCTTCTCAGTTGTGCCTACTCCAACAGTCGTTAAACATATCATCAAACGTGCCAGGAGAAGGGCTCCTACTCATCGCATGGCCCTCGAATTTCTTGACCCTTCAGGTGAGCTGAGGATACTCCTGTGTGTTCATGGACCTGATAATGTTCCTGCTTCCATCAACTTGATGGAGATCTCAAGAGGGACAGCAGACCCTGGCATTGTGGTATGTGTGACAGACATGATTGAACTCACTGATGAAATAGCAGCTACAATAGAAAGGGGTGATGGATTACATACAACTGTGGAAGACAAGGCAGTTATGGAGATGAGAGACCAAGTAACAAGCTCATTTAAAACCTACCTAGATGAGGATGGTGATGGTATCACTCTCAACCGAACAGTGGCAGTGTCAACAATCAATAATATGGCACAAGACATTTGCATTCTAGCAGAGGACTCGATGATTGCCCTCATCATACTACCATTCCATAGGAGCCAGCGCAAGGATGGAAAGTTGGATGGTGGCAATCAAGGGTTCAGATATGTGAACAAAAAGGTAATGCATGGAAATAAAAATAAATACAACTT